TACAGCAGCACTGTTTAGTTGGGAACATTTGGGACTGTTACCTTGCAGTCTTCCACTAACCCAGTCTCTCCGCTGTGAATCACAGGTAACCATCTGCATCGATACTCCAAGGTGCTTGAGGCTCATTTGGGAGACCCTAAACCCCGGTCCCTTCCAGCCTGTCCTCACCTGTCCTGGGCCAAACCACAGCCTTTGAATGAAACTGCCCCCAGGTGACTATACATCTCTAACATGGCTCTATACCCGTTCTCACTTTGGAGTTGAGCTGAAAAGTCAACTGTTTCAACTGCCYTTGAAAGGAACAGGGAAAACGCCTTTCCCAGGGAAAGAACAGCTTGCAAAGAGGAAATAATGCACGTTCAGCAAATAATTTAGCCTGGTAAAATGCATCTGATCGTTACCCTGTAATTTATGTAACTGGGATTTTTAAAAAAAGCTTCTGAAGTCAATTCAGGGTTGTGTGAGTGACCCCAACTTACAAGGTAGAGGGCTTGCTTGAATCCCCTGGGCATTGCCTGCCTTTGCAGTAATTTTCTAAAGCAGCTTCTTGCGCTGCTCACCAAACTGCCTTCTGCARTGTCATTTGTCCATCACTTGCAGACAGGCATGTCAGCACCTAGGCCCTAGTTTGCTGGGGTTTAGGTAACTTTAGGTAGTGCACTGGAAGAAGTAGATCTGTGAGTAAATAGCAATTGATCTAAGTGTGTAACTTTGGAGAGCTGTAAGACATAGGACCTGAAGAATAAATTGGAGTATTGCTTGGATCCAGTTTAGTGAGCAGTTTATAGGTGTCAGCCATCCATATTACAGTATATTTGCGCAAAACTCCTTGCATTAAACAAATAAATGGACAAACATCTCTGTCTTTTAAATTTCTTCTAGCAACCTTTGGAAACATCAAAAGTTATTGTCAATTGACCTTGATAAAGTCGCTCTACCCAGTTTTCGACAGAACCGACCCCAAGTGAGACCACTGTCCCCTGGAGAAAGTGGAGCGTGGGACATTCCTGGAGGTGAATATCAGAAAGTCTGAAAGCTGCTGTTTCGCTTTGCCTATTGAATAGCCTGAAGAAAAGAAAAGTCAGCAGAAGAGATTTCCACGTGTGTTTCATTTCAGTGATGAAAAACATGCAAATAGCAGGGGGGTTATTTTGTAAAAGCTTGTCTGATGAAGCCTTAGAAAATTTTTTTTTGCATGTAAGTAGTTCATTCAAAAGGATGTGTGTGTGGTACATAGTGGGAGGAAGATTTCAGCAGGTGCTTTCTGGCCAGTCAAGGTGAATAGTGCTCAGGGRAAGGTATAATAATAATTTGGAGCACTTCTCACCACTTCTCACTGTAATGGTACTTGGCTTTACCTGCTGGGCTTTACCAAGCCCAGCTGGAAGTAGTTTGAAAGCTATGAGCCTCCAGACCAAAAGGTGCCTCTGAAAGGAAGGATGCTAAAGCTTGTCCTTCCCGTGTGTGGTCTCTGGAGCGAACACAAAGTCCATTTCCATGAGCTTTGGTATTCACTTGGATTTATGGAGATTATTTGGTGATAAAGCTGCAGTCAAGTATTTGCATCTCTCTCCTTACTTCTGATGCAAAACAGAAGGTGCTTGTTGTGGGAGAAATGTAGATTATGCTTTCATGTTCCAAAACAGGTCAAGGTGAAAATGCCTTTGCCTTTCTGTACATTTAGCATCCTGTCTTATTTTCACTAATTGGTCTGCAGCCGCTAATCTCCTTGTCTGAAACGTAATCTGATTATGGCTGTTTCATCTCAGAACAAGAGCTTGCCCCCGGGACCCTTGCGGTAGATAGCGCTAATATCGCAAAGGCCTCGTTGGYTGCTAATCGCTTCCCAAACCTCTTTGGCCTTCCAGGTATAATGCCCGGCCGGTACAACCAGGATGTAGGACAGACCATTCCGGTCTTTGCGTTCCTGGGTGCCATGGTGGTGCTGGCGTTCTTTGTGGTGCAGATCAACAAGGCGAAGAGCCGCCCAAAGAGACGGAAGCCGCGAGTGAAGCGCCCACAGCTGATGCAACAGGTTCATCCTCCAAAGACACCTTCGGTCTGAGAGCTCTCGCTTGCCAAAGATGACCCACGTCCTCCTGCCCGGTTGCTCCTCAGATGTTGATGGCCACCAGCGAAGGCGCGGGGAACTGGTCGTGCTGGTGATGGATTCRCATCTGACATCATCTCATAGGCTTTGGTGTCCGCAGGGGGGTGAATTAAAAGGATCTCAGTTCATCATCTGTACATAAAACTGCAGCTTTAAGCAGCCGAAGCCACCAAAGACTTGAAAATACCATATGAAAGGCTGCTTAGTCACTACATATCCCAAGAGGGGGGAAATGGACCTTTTTTTAAAGCTGACCAAACTAAAATTTATTTGTTTAGAGGCTATTTTCTATATTTATTGTTGGGGAGGGATGGGGGGGTAAAAGTCACTTTAAGGACCTCTGCTAATAAAAAGCAATCGCAATGTTTTTTGGATGGGATGCAATTTTCTAGAATGGTGTAACGCTGAAGAGTATAACTCACATCATTAAAGGAGGGAGGGGGCAAGATAAACTAGTACAAATCAGTGAGACATAGTCCTGCAGTTTATTTTTATAAAGCCAACTACCATGATGTTTTGTAATTTTTGGTCATGATTTCACCGTTGTTGGTGAAGCAGATTTTCAATAAATATGTTATCTACATGAAGCTCAGATGCTGTGTTGGGTGGCTCTTCTTTCGCAGGCCCATCTTAGGGAGTGGGTTGTCGAGGACAAGGGTTTGATGAAGGTTTTAGGAGGTGACCTGCTTCCTGTGTAGTTGTGTGGATGGCACCTAGYAGGACAGTGAATCACAGAGCTTTTTAGCTCTCCTCTTCTGATTTGTCCTGCTTGAGAGCCTGCAACTTGTCACCAGCTAAAATTAGGACCCAGGTCCAAGCTGCCCCAAASCATAGTGTTGGTCGAGATCTGCACCCTCTGCTTTGTGCTTATCCTGCTTGGCTCGGGACTSAGAAACGATGGAGGCACCTTGTGCTCTTCAGCTTGGAAACAGCGTCACAGCCGCTGCCTGGAGCAGTTTATCGGCCCAGCCCCTCTGCCTCAGGGCATCATTTGACCAAGGCAGCAACCCAGCAAACAGCCCAGGGCGCCAAAATTACCTAATGGAAGGAAACCCTCACACGAGCTTTTTCAGCATCACTCCCATTTCTGAAACTACATGAGGAGCTTCTGTTTGTACTGCAGGACTCTCCAGCCCGGGAGGATTCCCTCAAAAGAGGTTGGGTAAAAGAAGGATCTGCTCATAAACCTTTTCAGAAGGTGTCCATGCTCTGTAGTCCTCACAGTCCTACCACAACGAGCAAGCAGTGACCACAGCCTTCCAGGCCATCCATCGTCCTTCTGTTTGCCTCACATTGATGCAGGAACATTTTGGGGAAGCAGCGGTGACACATTAGCCTGAGGCTGCACCGTGCTCACTTTTCCTGCCTCACTTTTCCTGGACCAAGGCTTACGGTCCTTATTTCATGGATATGGGTGCACTGATTCCCCACAGCTACCACATCCCTCCTCACAACCTGTGAGCCCTGGATTCGGGGGCTGCTTCCAGAGGCTTTCCYGGCCCTGTGACGGGGCCCGACGGCTCCTCACGGCCCTTGGATTTGCGTCGCCTCCTCAAAGGGAGCCTTGGAGGCCCTCGAGGAGCCTTGAAGGCCCTCGTGCCTTCGCTCCGGCCGGTGCTAATGAGGAAGCTCCGGCCCCTCATGGCATTGCTAATGAGAGATTACGAACCCCTCTGTAACTTTGAAACCAGAGTCAAATAGTTATCAAAGCGCCATTCCGAGCTAAGAGCCTTTCCCAGTGGCTGGTATTTTACAGCCCAGTGGCCAATTTCTAAATCATAGGAGCCAATTATTTCTGAAGCCTTTGGTGTGCAGCTAATGAAGGCCTAAAAGGACCCTTTAAATGGCTATAAACGCCATTGGCCGCAAAGATTTAATTGAGGTGGCAGGCACAATTAGCCCTCCCTAATTCCTGCCAGCAGCTGATTAAAGTCTCTTTATCCGTCTTACTGAGATCAGAAGGGCGCATATTTGGGAAATGAAAACCGCATTAGGGCCTGTCAGCCGGTGTGAGGGCCCCGCTGCTGTAGGGCGGGAATGGCAGCGTGGGCCCGGCCCGGGCCGCGCGTGGAGCCGTCGCGGGGAGCCCCGCGCAGGGAGGGGGCCGCGACAGGCTCCCTTGTCCTGCTGCTCCCTCCCCTTGTCCTGCTGCTCCCTCGGCCGTGCGGCGCCAGCGCGCTCCGACAAGGAATCCTGACGCCAGGCCGTGCAGCAGCCCCGCTCCTCCGCGCAGCGGCTTGCTGAGCTTCCCCCTCGCCAGCACAGAGCTCGCTCTGTGCCCACGTGCGGAGACTAGTCAGAGCKATGCTAACAAAGGCTCTTCTAGCCAAAAAAGCCCTTTGCCTTGACCACCCCGCTCCCCCTGTAACCGTTCTGTACGGAGGAGGCTCCCTCCGACCAGGGCTTTCCTGCTCGTCCGTGGCCATGTGTCCACGCGCRTCCCGATAGCTGCAGGTGCTTGGGCAGAAAGGGCTGTCAGGCTGCAAGCCCAAAGGAACATGATGTTGGTGGTTGTCACACAACTCCCTTCCCCTTGGCCAGCGCTTGCTCCAGCTCTGCCCCACAGCYCAGCGCAGCGTGTGCCGCGCTGCTTTAGGGGTGGCGGCTGCTGAGCGCCTTGCCTAGGTCGGCAGAGCAAGTCAGCAGAGCGGTGGCCAGGAGAGCAGCTCCCTGCTCCGCTGCTCTATCCTCCTGGGCCGGGATTGGCGGAGAGGAGCGTGTTCCCCTCCCCATCCCGTCCAGTCCGCCCCATCCCATTCCATCCCATCCCAGGGAGATCRGGGCGGGTGAGCGGTGCAAGTGCCGCTCTCCTCATCCCAGCGGCTGCAGAGGAYAGGGGTGCTGGGCACGGGCACCCCAAAAGGACCCCTCCCAACATTGCTGGTCGGTGATGGAGAAGGCGGCAGGGGAGAGCGCACACTTGCTGGACAAGCCGGCGGCAGCCACGGGCAGCGCCGGCCTCTCCTCTGCCGGCGCCGTCTTCATCATGCTCAAGTCGGCCCTTGGCGCGGGGCTGCTCAACTTCCCCTGGGCATTCAACAAAGCGGGCGGCATCATGCCCGCCGTGCTCGTGGAGCTGGTAAGGGACGGCGAGCCGAGGGCGCTGCCGGCGGAGCAGAGGGGGCTGCCTTTGCACAGGGAAAGGATCCAGGAGGCCGCTTCCCTTCCCTGCAGGTGGGAGGGCAAGGGCGGCTGTAGCCCGGGGCAGGATGGCAGCAAATGCTCCTCAAAGGGAACCCGGGGACTGGGGTGAGTGAGACCYGCAGGTAATGGGCAGGCTGCAAGGAGCACAGGGAGGATGGAGAGGGAGGGCCTGTGGTGCCTCAGGCAGTGTTTGGGATGGGGATTGGGAGGTTTTCTTCACGGTGCTGACAGGGACTGTCCCTTGCAAGCTGGCAGCAGCTACCCTGCCCGGAGCGGAGCAGGAAAGATTTTAATATATGAGTTGTGGGCACCACCGCCACCAAGCAGTGCTTCCCACGTCCGGAGCCAGGATTTGGGTGCTTTAACCCAACCTGGCAGTGGTTTGGGTTTCTGTTCTCTGCTCCAACACCCCCAAGAGCTACAGCAGCCAGATAGGACGAGCTGCTTCTTCCCTCCTTATCCCGACGTGCCCAGCTGGCTGCAGGCACCTGCGGGACTCACTCCTCTCCATGCTGATGTTTTGGCACCCTGGACGCTTTGGAAGGTCATGTTGGCTGCCCCGCTCTCTGCAGGGCTCCTTGGTGTTCCTGGTGAGCGGGCTGGCGGTGCTGGGCTACGCGTCGTCCCTCAGCACGCAGCCCACCTACCAGGGCGTCATCCGTGAGGTGTGCGGCAGCGCCGCGGGGAAGCTCTGCGAGCTCTGCTTCATCCTCAACCTCTTCATGATCTCCGTGGCCTTCCTGCGCGTCGTGGGGGACCAGCTGGAGAAACGTGAGTCCGTGTGGCGCTGCCAGCSCCTGGACACTCCGGACCCCCCTGAGTGTCCGCTCCTTCCTCGGGCAGTGTGCGACTCCTTGTACCCCAACGGCACGCTGGGCGCGCAGGGCCCCGCGCCGCCCCACTGGTACGTGGACCAGCGYTTCACCCTCTCGGCGCTCTGCGTCCTGGTCATCCTCCCTCTCTCCGTGCCCAAGGAGATCGGCTTCCAGAAGTACTCCAGGTACCGGGGAGCAGCACTGGGCCACGGCAGACATGGAATGAGGCAGGAGTGGCACCTCTGTGTCCAAATGGGAGCTGGGGGAGACTCTGCATCCACCTCCCGCAGAGCTGAGCTCTCGCCTCCTCCCGYAGCATCCTGGGCACGTTGGCCGCCTGCTACCTCACCGTGGTCATCGTCRTAAAGTACTACCTGCAAGCGGAGAGCCCCGGCTTGCGCCAGCCCCCCCAGGCCTCCAGGTGAGGGACAGCGGGACGTGCTGGAGCCCCTGCCACGGCCTAAGTGGGTGTCACGGGGCATGCTGGCAGCTGGGGTAGGCTCAGTGGTGTCATGATGATGGGTGAGGGCAGCCCAGGGTGGTGGGGATGAGATGGGTAGAGCCCTGGCAAGATATTAGCCCCTGGGTACGCAGAATGGAGCAAGAGCTGCTGGCAGCCCCCAGTGTCAGGTGGGATCCCTGCAAAGTCCTTTGCTTCAAGGGATCTTCTGTTTTCCTCTACGCTGTGATGCAGGACTCCCTCCTGGGCCTCCATGTTCAGTGTCATCCCCACCATCTGCTTCGGATTTCAGGTAACATTGCTCATGAGCCAACTGTTTTGGGTCTCAAGTGAGGCAGTGGAGCTGCCGGCACCCAAGGGAGGCACCTCCAGGGCCCATAGGCGCTGCAGGGCTCCTGGCAGCGGAAGGGAAGCTCCTGTGGGGGATAGTGACAAACGTGTGGGTTGGTCTGGTTGAAGTGGGTGAGGGCAGAGGGTCAGACATTTGGGGAAACAGCCTTTTCCAACAGATTTTGAGGCGGGGTGGTGAACATGGTCACAGAGAGTGCTCTTCTCCCCTCCATGGCTCTCACTATGACGGCACCTGGGGAGTGGGAGTCAGAGCAGGAGGCGAGATGGCCGAGGCCCCTCTGTCCTCCTGGCGCTCCACAGGCCGGCCGTGCCCTGTGCCTTGCAGTGCCACGAGGCCTGCGTGGCCATCTACAGCAGCATGCGCAACCGGAACTTCTCCCACTGGGTGGCTGTCTCCGTGCTCTCCATGCTCATCTGTCTGCTCATTTACACCCTCACAGGTAACTATGGAGTTTTTTATTCCTTCACAGCTGGCAAAGTTCTTGATGCCTTCACTTTTGTCCCAAGCTGTGACTCTGTAGGATGCCCCAAGGGTCTCCCTGCTGGCCCTAGTCCCACTCATAGCTCCTTAGGTGCCACTGTCAGAAGGTGGTCAAGGAGCAACCTGATCCCTCACCTTCCCATCTGCAGGGCTCTATGGCTACCTGACCTTTGGGGAGGACGTGGCCGCTGACATCCTCATGTCCTACCCGGGGAATGATGCTGTTGTCATCGTCGCCCGCCTGCTCTTTGGCATCTCCATCGTGACCATCTACCCTATCGTTGTGCTGCTGGGCAGGTGAGATGACAGAGTGGTGGGCACAGAGGCAAAACCTGCAGCTCCCTCCGGAGCGGTACCCGTGCAGAGCCAGAGCCCCACGGTCGAGCAGGTGACGCTGAGCCTGCCCTAGGTCTGTTGTTCGTGACATGTGTGTGAAGCCCAAGCGTGGGACCATGCCGGTGGCTGCGGCGTCCGAGCGGCGGACCAGGGTGGCGCTGACTGTCTCGTGGATTGCGGCAACGCTCGTCATCGCCTTATTCGTGCCGGATATCGGCAAGGTCATCGGGCTCATTGGCGGCATCAGCGCCTTCTTCATCTTCATCTTCCCAGGTAAGGATGAAGGGTGAGGGAAGTGTGTTGCAGGGGAAAGGTCCCAGCATGGCCTGAGGCTGCTCTCCAGCCCTGCAGAGCCAGGTTTTGGGGTGGGAATGAGGCTGGACACACACTCACATGGTGCACCATGTAGGCATGCCTGGCATAGGTCTGTCAGGCCTGGAGAAAGAGGCATTGGTGCTGGCGGGAGTGACCAGGCCAGGTCAGAGGGCCAGACCCTTGTGCTAGCCCCAATCAGGAACCAATATGTGCTGATCCCTGCAAGGGGCGGGTGAGCCCACCCCGGGTGCTGTCCATAGGGCAGCCTGAGCCTGGGCCAAATGCTATGGTGCTGTGGGGTGTGTGTATGTGTATGGGGAGGTCCCACAGTCATGACTGTGTGGCTGTGGGTGCTCGTGTCGCGTGCCTGCTCGGCAGGGGATACAGAGCACCCATCCAGGTAAGTGGTGGCCGTGGAAGCCCACCCATGTGTCTTTGCTTTGGGTGGCAGGGCTGTGCTTGGTGTGCATGATGGGAACCGAAGCCATTGGGCCACGGAAGAGGTAAGTGTCTGCACAGAGGGGTGGTGGTGGGCAGGACATGGTGCAATGCGGAGAGTCCCCACAGGGGTGGCTTCTCCAGCCCTTGCCATGGCTGGCAGGAAGCCTGTGAAGTGCTGGCATGGGGACACCTGTCCATGTTATCTATTTATATCTATTTATATCTATTATCTATTCCTTTGCTGGGGGTTGGGGCTGGGGGGAGGGATGGGAAGGCAGGGCCCACTGAGAGACACAGAGACTGCAGTGATTAGGACCTCAAGTGCAAGTGTGGAGGGAAGTGCCGGAGCACCTGGTGCATGGTGAGGATGGAGGCTGTAGGGTCAGAGCGCTCTGCACTTTCAGGGGGAAATGGCCTTGTGGTTTGGAGACCGTGAGGGGCTGTGGCACCCCCATAAGGACCTGAGGTGGGGGTCAGAGGAGCCTCCACACAGAGCCAGAGGGGTCTGGCCACAGCTGCCATGCCCAGGGCACTGCGCGTGCACCACAGTTCCTGGGACAGTGGAGGGCAGAGAGGCAAGGGATGGTGCATGCCCCTTTCTGGAGCTGCCATGGTGCAGCATGGGCTCCCTGTGGGCTCGGTGAGTTTTGGGGCTGGTGTCTCGGTGTATTTTTGGTTGTTCACACCAGTGGGCTCGGAGCAAGACAGCTCCACAGGGGCTACGTGCTGTGGGCACAGTGAGGGGAGCTGGGTGGCATGCAGGGCTGTCACACGTCACCAGGGCCCAGCTGACCGTGGGCGAGCTGGCAGAGGGAGCAGGTATTGGCAGCCACCAGGTCTCATGTAGGGCACCCCATTCCTGTCCTTGGGCAATGGACTGGAGAGGCCTGGTGGGAGGCTGAAATACGCAGGTGTGGGAATGACTGGAGCCCTTCCAGGGCCGAGGAAGAYAAGGTCTGTCAATATGGAAACAATGTGATGAGGTGATGGCAGCTCCTTCAGCACCAGTTGGGACAGGGTGGGCCAGGGCTGCCAGGCAAGGAATGGAGGTATTTCTAACGGAGGCGATGGGTGACGGGAGCCCTTCCTCCATGGGGGACAAGAGCTGCCATCCACCAGGCAGACCAAGCACCTCAGGAACCTCCTTGCTCACCCTGCCAGCTCCCAGGGCTTTGGCAGTGTGTGCAAAGGCACAGCTGCCTCTGGGACTGCTCCTCTTTGCAACTAATGCCTGTGGATGCCAATAACCCCTTCAGTGGAGGAGCAGCAAGGGCCGAGGGTGAGCACTGTGTCCTGGGACCTTGGTGGCCTCATTCGTGATGTCTGGGTAGAGGTGGGGGTGAGGATTGACTGGGCACAAACTTGCTCACAAGTCACCCGTTCCCTAGGCATGGGGACAGGGAGAGTGGTGAGCTGTCTACGAGGGCAGTGGGACCATGGGGCACATGGAGGTCGGAGCAGGAGGCTGGTGATGGGCCTGCCAGGGCAGGGTCCTCTATGGAGGCAGACGGTCTCCCTTTGACTCCAGTTGGAGGAGTCTTGACTGCTTCATGGGCGGTGTGACAAGGTGGCTGGGTTTTGATTGCAGACCATAGGCAGAGCAGCAGGGACCCTGTGCCAAGGCAATGCCACCACGAAGGGCCAGAGCAGCGAGGGACTGGACTGCAGCAGGCTGCAACTCAGTGCAAGGAAATGGGTGGCAGCAGGGACGGGTGGACAGGAGCATCATTGGCAGCCGGCGTCTCTCTGGCCGCCAGCTGTAGGGATGTGTCAAATGTCCCTGTGGCAGAGGTGACTTGGGGGGCAGAGGCAGCTGGAGCAGTTCAGTGGGGCTGCTGGGGAGGCTGGGGCCAACGCTCTGRGCAGTGGGAAGAGGTGGCCAGCAGCATCCGGGCCAAGCGTGCCCGGGCTAACAGCCACGTCCTGCTCTGCAGAGAGGCTGAGGGAGGCCTTGGTGCTGGAAGGGGCTTTGTTTGGRTTGTCTTGGACCCAAGCAGAGGTGAGGAAGAGTTTCCAGGGGGCACATCAGTCAGGGGTGCCTGGAGGTGGCAGTGCAGGCTCGGGGCAGTGCCGAGCAATTGGACCAAGGGCTGCAGTGGGGTCCCTCCCAGCAGCAGCRGGTCGGGACTGGTGCTGGCCATGGGGGAGCTGGCCCGGGGACATGGGTGCGTGTTGGRAAGTTCTTGTGTGGGGATGTGCAGCGAGCGCTGCTGTGTCTGCACAGGCCATGCCWCCAAGGCCCGGGCAGGGCGGTGGGGCGGCGTCGCGCGCTGTGCTCACGGCAGCCGCTCGCTGTCCCCGCAGGGCCGCGCTCGTCGCCTGGGGCGTCCTCTCGGTGCTGTGCGGCGCCTTCGTCTGCGGGCAGAGCACGGCCAGCGCCGCCATGGAGCTGCTGCACCGCGCGTAGGCCGCGCGCCGCCGCCGCTGCCCCCAGCCACCCCAGAGCGGCCATCCTGGGCCGGCGACGACACRGCGGCTTCCTTCACATCTTTATTGGGCATCTCCGCTGCTCTACTGTACAGCTGCTAATAAATACTGCACACGGTGATATTAAGAAAGCCTCTGGACGGAGTCACCCCGGAGGAGGCGCCGCGCGCGGCCAGGCCGGGCTGAGGGGCTGCTGCGAGTGGGAGCCTYGGGGAGGGAGACAGCGACGGCGCACAGCACACGAGACAGCTTCACCCACACAACGCGTCGCCCACGCCGCCCCGATGCCCCCCGCCACGCCGGAGGAAAGGGGCCGGAGCCGGGGAGGGGAGTCCGGGGGTGCTGCAGGGTGCTGGAGGACGGGGCTCGGGGTGGCCTTCATGGCAGGGAGCCGCTGCGGGCACGGGGGTGCTCCGGCGTGACGCTCGCAGCACGTCGGGACGGGCAGGCGGCCAGCGACGGGGAGCGTGGATCCCGCAGAGCCGGTGTGGCCACTACGTCCCCGCCGGCCGAGAGGTCAGTCTCTGCTCAGGGYGCACCAGGCGGCTGCAGAAGGGAGTGGACACCAGTCATGGAATCAGAACCACAGAATCCTTAAGGTTGGAAGGGACCTCTAGAGATCATCCAGTCCAACACCCCTGCACACACAGGGTCACCTAGTGCACGTGGCACAGGCTGCGTCCAAGCAGGTTTGGGAGATCTCCAGAGAAGGAGAGTCCACAACCTCTCTGGGCAGCCTGTGCCAGGGCTCTGGCACCCTCACTGTCAAAAAGTGTTTTCTCAGGTTCCTGTGGAACTTTTGGTGCCTCAACTTGTGGCCGTTTCTTCTAGTCCTGTCGCTGTCCACCACTGAAAAGAGGCCACCCCCTCCTCCTCACTGCCTCTCTTGAGGTATTTATATACACTGATCAGGTCTCCCCTCAGCCTTCTCTTCTCCAGGCTGAACAGGTCCAGCTCTCCCAGTCTTTACTCAAGTAAAGTGTTACTTGCGTCACCGAGCCCGAGGATGCCCCTCCAGCAGCCCCGTCCCCCCCCCGTGCCTACCTGGCACGGCCACGCTGGACACGGCCTCGGGCTGGCTCAGCGTGTCCACCTTGACGTGCTGGAAGCCCTTGCAGGTGGCGCTCTGCAGGTGCCTGTGATACAGGTTGGGGGACAGTTACCCGGTGCCTTCACCCCAACCCTAATCTCTGTACCCGGGGCTCCTACCATGGTGGTGGGGACCTGTYCCCAAGCAGCAGAGGCTCCCTGCCCCACAGCCATCAGCTGGGGCTTGGAGGCTTCACACTGCACAAGTCTCGGCACCACTGCATTTGTGGGCACCTCTCCTACCTCTTCCAGTCCTCCTCGGTCTCCCAGAACTCGTAGACGATGAAGGTGACGCCGTCCGGCAGCTTCACCGCGGTCACACTGACGGGACACGGGCAGGGGCTGAGCACCTGGCTGGCTGGGGGCCGCAGTGCCCTGGGGCATCCACCACGGCCGTGTCCACCGATACTCACTGGAAGCAGTCCCGCTCRCCGGCCACGCTCTTCAGGTACTGCTTGAGGGAGCTGCAGAACTCGCCCAGGTGCTTGTGCGCCACCGTCATCTCGTCCCGCACCAGCAGCAGGTACTGTGGGACCACGAGGGACCGCGTCAGCCCCCCAGGGCAGTTACCCCAGCCCACGGCAGCCACCGAGGCCGGGCTTCGGGCCCCACTCACCGCGCACGCGGTGCTCTCGCTGTCCGACAGACGCTGGTGCAGGTCGAACCAGAGGGTCTAGAGAAAAAAAATCAAATGTGGTAAAAAACAAAAGTGTGGAAGCAGGGCTGAACTTGCACCTCATACTGCCAGGCACCCACAAATCACACTGTTCATGCTCAGCAAACGTCCCCCCAAGGGAGAAGTGGCAGCCCTCTCCCTGCCTGCCCCAAAAGCACTTCCATCACAGCGGGATTTGGGAGATAATTTCACCTTCAGGCCCTGCATGGAGTGAAATCTCCTTGGCCTGAGACTTCCCCTTCTTTCTTGTGTATTTTTTGTTTTTTTCTTGTTTAAATCAAGTTCCAGGTACCCATCCCTGTGAAGTCTCCCCCGCGTTACCTTGTCCTCCAGCCTGCCGATGAGCTCGGCCAGACGGTTAATCTGCACCTCCAGCCCTTCCTCCTTGGCCTCGGGGGACCCTGGTGGGAGCAGAGAAGCACAAGAGCCACCCGCAGGATGCCTGGTGGGGTGGCCCTTCCCCACGGCAGGCACGGAGGTGACCGTGCGCCTGGTCCCCAATGCCTCTTACCCGCCGGGAAGCTTTTCCGGTGCTCCTTGGGCACGAGCCTGCTGTTGGGGGGGTAGGTGGGCACAGGGCTGTCGTACCAGGTGTCCACGAGGCCACCTTTGCCGTGGTACTGCCTGCAGTGCAAGCGCAGAAATAGTCACAGGCCATGAAGGACGTGCTCGTCTTCACACCCGGGCGCGCATTTGTGCCCGCGTTTTAGCAGCTCTGCTGCTGCCRAACGCCAAAGCAGCAGCACCGAGCCCAGGCTGGGCACTACCTGCTCTGGYCTCGACATCTGATACGGGGATGGGACAAGGACATCTGGTCCCGAAAAGCGGCCCCGCAGCGGGAACGCCAGTAAAAGCAAGCACGCACCTCACTGCAGTGTGCGCAATACTCAGCACCGAGCAGTCCTGTCAATGGGCAGGAAATTAAGCAGGAGCACACGGGGCTGCTTTTTAATCACAGCCTAAGGAGGTGGCTCAGCTGCCTTCATTGCACAAGCCTCTGTGCTCCTGGGCCCAGGCTCCAGGACCTCGGACTGCGCTTGAATTGCTCTTGCTTTTCCACATGTTTTGCATTGTGCCTTACATGGGGATTCGGAGCAGACAAAAATGAGGAGAKGAACCCACTGAGGGTCCATGAAGCCAACAGCCCTGCACCTAGGCAAGCCCCCCAGATGTTGGCCGAGCTGCCCAAGCCCATTAAGATGTYGGATGCACAGGCAAAGCTGTTTTATTGTGACTAAGTCTTATTAGAGCCTTTTCCTATGGCCTCTGCGTGCGCCGGTCGTCTTGGCATTGGGGAGCTGTACTCAAATGCAAGTGTCTGCAAGAGCAGGTGAGGCCAGAAGCTTCTCTCTTTTTCTACCTGCCCCTGAAGAAACCACTGGGGACAAGTGTGCTTTGGCAGAGGTTTTRCAAAGGGAGTGTGGGGAGCATTTCCTGTGGGGAGCATTAAAACCCATCACAGAGAGACAGGAAAACAGGAGAGTTCATCTCACCGCCGACCACGGCCTCTGTGTGCAGTTCCCCAGATGAGCACCACCCTACTCCAAACCCCCGAGATGGGCTCCCGCTCCCATCTGCTGCTCTGCAGCCTATTGAAAACAACATACTCTACAAGCACCCTCGTGACCTTCTGCTTTTCAGCTAYGGCAGGAAACAGATTCTCTTCATGAGCAGCTGATAGTCCCTGGAACAGTTGCTATGGAAACGTGTCCTGCTTACAGCCGGTGATCTTGAGACTCCGGGGAGACGAGTGACATTTGAGCACGGGAGGCTGGGCTGAGGCTCGGGCTCCAGCTCGGGATGTCCTGAATGTTTTAGCTCTGACTATCTTCCAGAAGAGAAATCCTGGAGCTGCTCTCCTCTGCCTTCTCCTGACCTGGAGCACGTCCCAAGGCCTGGAGAAAGCCCAGCTGAAAGCCAAGCAGGTCATTTGCTTCCCTAGGCCATGGTGGATGCCGGCCTCGAGCTGCACTGCCAGTGCCTGGATGTCCAAGTTGGGAAACAGGAGCTCGCCTTGCGTGGTGCATGGGTGGAGAGGGCACCCACGGGTGCACCTTACGTGGCGGGGGAAGGRGGACAGGGCACAGTAGATGAAACCCCTGAGGGGCCCTGAGGAGGGCAGGCAGAGAGGCAAAAGGAGGGTTTGGTGGTGCCACCAAAAAGCTTCAGTAAGTGCTGAGGGCCTGAGGACCAGGGAGGAGGGAGAGGGCTGTGGAGAGGAGCTTAGACGAGACTAACCACACGCAATCAGAGCTGAGCTTGGAGGCACTCAGGGAACACACAGGTCACTGCATTTTATCGSCCTTGCCAGCTAAAGCGTGCGGTAGAAGCGTCCCAAGGTCCAATGCTTGCAAAGTAGCAAGGAATAAGAGAGAGAGGCAGGATGAGGTGTAGCCTCAAGCTCCTTTGACCTTCCTTTAAATCATTCTTTGTTAATAAAACAGACTGAGAGAAATACTATTCCGGCAAGGAAATGGCCAATATTGTGCAGCTGCTTTGAGCAACTTTAACAAAGAGTTGTCCTACCAGAAGACGACCGCACATGAGCCAAGCACATAAGGAGCAGAGGACCAGTCACCTCCTGCTCGCTGCCCCCGTGGTCCAATAAAACACCCAGAGAAATGGCCAGTGAAAAACCAAGCTGGTTCACACTGGGGGAGAGGGAGCAGCGCTGACCTGGTGGGGTTGGTCTGCTCATCAATGGCATCCACAGCGCTCTCCACGGAGCTCAGCAGCGACTGGGTCTGGTTGGCCGTCTCCTTCAGCAGGAAGCGGGTCACGAACTGGTCCACGTTGCTGCCGCTTTCGTACACCTGCRAGCAATGAGAACAAGGTCTGTGAGACCCCGCACTGTCGAGGGGACAGCCACGTGCTCATGTCCCCACCGCCCCCAAAGGGCCAGCTCAGAGTGGTCTGCGCACGCGGAGGTCTCCTGGGAAGGGCTCCAACACGATGGTTTCTTCCATGTTGAAAGACGTGTTGAAAGAACAACCCATCCAGGCCCGAATATCCCAACGGGCTGCGGACACACGTTCACCCTCTGACCAGGAGATGGGCAGCTCTTCACTCGCCAAGCCACCGCCTTAGTCCCCTCTCTCAGCTCACAAGTGCCAAGAGACGCTCAAGGGCAGCCACATCTCTCACTCCTCCTGGGGTCGCGGCTGGCAGAGCAGCGCTCCTGCCTTCTGGGATCCCATCTTTCCTCTCCTCCGCTCGCTTTAAGCTGCTCTCACCTTCATCTGCTGCCCAGCCAGCCCCGGCAGACGTGCGGGAAGCCAGGACAACCGCATGGCCGGGCTCTTGGCTCTTGACCAGCTTCCAAGGCAGCCCCGTTTAGCAGCAGCACTGTCTAATCCAGGTACGTTGAGGCAGGCAGTTGCTCCCCATTTTTGACTCCCTCACCATGAAGAAGCCGCCCTCAACCTTTTCAATCCCACCCATTACTCTTGATGATCTCTCCCACGTGCCATTAGCTACACTACTGCAAGAGGTCAGCAGCACAGCTCCTTGCCAAGGCGCAAATGAGACGTGGGACAGACTGGGGCCCATGGACAAAGCCCAARACTGGGCCTCAGAACGGCTCCTTGGACTGTGCTGGCTGGCGAGAGGGCACCTCTTCACTGGCCGTAAATAAAACAAGGCAAAGAATCAATTACCTCGTGTCGGCTATTTTTAGAATGACCTTAAATTCAGCTTAAAAATGTTCATCTCATCTACTGATCTAGTATATGATAGCACAAACTACCTGCCTAAGACAGCCAGTACTGCCTCAATGCTATGAACAGTCTGGCTTCCTCTTTCTCTCTGCACTCACATGGAAAGGCAGTTCAGCCATGACCATCTTTCCTCCACCTCCTGGCACTTATTAATTAGACCATGCTGGGCATAAATCAATTTTCCTCCTTCCCATATGATTGTAATGTGGAAACCCAGCATGCTCAATTCAATATTGAAGTAAAAGGGGCTTGATACAATTAGCACAGCTCCGAGCRAGCCAAAGGCACCTTTAACCCACGTGCAAAAGGCTACGTTGATCACCACCTAGCTCATGCAGGAGATCAGTGGTGCATCTCACAGCTGCAATGGCTGCTGAATGAAATAGCCTRTTGCAGGGGACTGCGGGTCTGCAGAAATCATGGGCTTTGCTATGGTGGGCAGGGATCTTCAATCGTCGATTTGTGACCAGTTGGAAGGAGCTGTTTGAATGTTTTGGAGGTTCAAGCTATTTCCCCGGGTGTGTTTTGGACCTTGCAAACACAGGCAAGGTTGGGCGGCCAACACAAGGGAACAAGGAGCGAGGCAGGAAGCCCAGCAGGAGACATGACCTACTGATGTACAGCCACACAGCAAAGAGCAACGGGGTCTGCCTTACACCAGGCTCCCACACAAGCTGCCTGGGACAGTYGCACAGCCCCAGGAGGGGGTTGCAGAAAGCCCCATCCTCACCCCAAGAAAGCAGCAGGCAAGGGGAAACCTGCCCTAAGCACCTTGCAGCGTGTTGCATGTCCTCAACCAAACGAGATCCTCCAACRAGGTGCTCTGAGACTAGAGCTGCTCAGCTGGAAAGACTGTAGCCCTCAGCAAGGGCAAACAGTTTGCAGGAGAAATAATAAAGGTCCAAAAAATAAAGATCCTAATAATATTTCAGTTTTAAGACTAAAGACAAAGAAGAAGAAAGTTCCAAACAGTTTGGATTCGAGACAGGACAGAGAATGACAACAAAGCAGAAATGGCTGCAACAAGAGGCTTCCCACTTTCAGGTCTGGGAAAGCACAGAGCTTTTGTGGAGCTTGATGAGCTAGTCATGCTCTAAAGAGAGTTAGGTCCTGCCTTGTTCATGCTGCCAGAGGTGTTCCTCTGGGTTGAATGGGTGCAGAAGCACGTGGGCAAGTTACCCATATTTGTGTAGGGCAGAAGCTCTCAAGGAAATCCAACCCCTCCCATGGCAATCAATATTTGAAAAAATGTTCTGCCTAGACCAGCTGGGCATGACTGGTTGGGCCCACCAAGTGTGTCCAGCAGCCTCGTGGCCCCAGCATAGCTTTCCTGTTCTCCTGCCAACGGCACCCAGTAGGACCCCGACCCTCCTCACCTCCTGCAGGCCACCAGCAGCGGCAGGACACCAGCCCAACCAGACCAACACAGGCACCATCATTAAGCACAACTGCTCCGGGGACGAGGACAGGCCATGAGAATGAAGTCTAGGTGAGGTCTGCCAGGGAGGAGAGTGACAATGACCTGCCTTGCCAGGGATGWGCTAAGCTCACAAACGAGCTGTCACTTCTGAGTTACCGCCTTCCTCCCCGGCCTGATGATCACGTTTGAAAGAAAAGCTCGGTCAGCTTTGCAAAATCAATCTGCATCCCGGTTATTAATGCCAGGCATCAGACATCCCTGGAACCAACCAGAAACGCTGGGCATGTCAGCAGCAATAGTGATCTCCATCACCACAAAGAACAYCTCTGCATTGCCTGGGGCTTGTCTTGAAGAACCAAAGACGAATGTGCGCTCCTCTTGAGGATGTCCCCATAGTTGATTYGAGGAGCAGAGCACAGCAGAGCTTTGCTGTGAAACCCAACCCTTACTGCTTGCCTTGCCTGCTCCCGAGAGTTGCTGTGCCCTGCACGCCGATCCTCACCCTCCGGGACACCAGTGCCACCAGGAGGGTGTCGGGAAGGAGACACAGGTCCCCATCTCTCTTTCCACRTGCCCAGAGCTGGATTGGCAATGCGGGTGGCTAGGGACACGCTCGCACAGCAGCAGCACAGCAGGCTGGCGCCGTGGGAGGCGCGGACCCCACTGCTATGCAAAGGAACAGCAGCAGAGCCAAGGAAGTGAGGGGAGAACATGGGCAGAACAGTTGGATGGGGGGGGAAACATCAAAGGCATTCACAAATATTCTGGAATAGCTGAGCGACCTCTTTTCTTCCTATCCAGGCATTCGTGAGTTACACAATATACAAAATACCGTGCATTTTTTCCCTCAAGGACCTCACCACATGCACAGGAACACACATATAGGTCCAGAGGCTCCAGATTGGGCCAAACCCACCCTTTCACCCAGGCAATTATTTTATCCCTTAAATACAGCCCCCTTATTCACACTCTTGCTAGAGAGGCCATTATTAAATCAATAAATCTCCTTGGCAAAAACACACAATCGCATTTGGGATCTGCAACCCTTTTTCAAGCTATTTCCTCCACCAAGGCACACATACGTTAATCAGGCATTCAAATAGGCTTCGCTTTAATTACGATTAGAGTTTGATTAAAGCACAGGCAGCCCCCCCTATCTCTAAGGAGAGGTGGGCAGGATCCAAGTGCTGCTCCTGTGTCTCCAAGGGGGCTCCATGAAGGAGCCACGCGGGGCAAGAAGGCACCAAGTCCCTCCTGGTTGACATCTGTGCCCCTGGGAAGAAGAGCTGACCCTGCAGAACATGATGCTTTCCATGTTCTTTTAGGAACCAAGATTCCTCAATATCACCCAATTCCCCATGTCCCCTGGCAGATTTCATACCCTTTTTGTGTCGTTTCTCCCYTGCTCTGCTCCCTTTCCTGCAGGTTTCCTGCTGCTTTTACATCTCAATGCCTGCATCAAGAAAGGGAATAATGTGCTGCTATTTTCCTCCTGCTTTCCTCTAGTCCCCAAAGCTCTCTGCAAACACCAGGAGACCAATTCCTAATCAGTCCCACTCACGCCACATACTTGCACGTCGGTACTTGCATTTATCAGGCACAAGCTACACTGAATCCTGTCTAGCAAGCAGCCTGACACAGACTGTTCCACAAAGGCCAAAAGTGTCTGAATATTTAAAATTCAGATTTTATTACTTGACTGTGGGCTATAATTTCCATTCAGCTTCAGGGGGAATCACATGAGTAATCTGCACATGCATTTACATTATCTCCCTCAGTCAGGATGATCTGGGAAAAGGACCTCTCCATACAAAGCTATCTAAGTCAGTGCAAGAGGAAGTCCATGGAGCTTGTAGGTCACCTTTCACACAGACAATCATTTATTCCATGGTCTTGTAGGCCAAATTTGAGCACTGTTGCCATTACAAGAGCCCTTCCAGCTATCCCTTGGGAAGATGCAAGTGTCCCAGTGTTCATCCCAGTCACCCCCATGGCTCCATTGCGGCCGTCCGGGTGTCTTGACATTAAGCCCCACATCGACTCTCATGGCCTTTCTCTTTTCTGCAATCTCCCAGGCCCACTCTGCATTGCGAAAACAAGTCATTAAGGAGAGCAGCTCCAAAGGAGTTCTTCCCATAGGCTTGTTAAAACGTTTGTCAGCCTGTCCTAGGGAGATTTAATGAGGTTTCTTACGATGCATTCCCTCCTGAACAGTTAATTCCTCCTTGCTTTTCTTAAGAAGTTAAAATATTTATGAAGATAATATAATAATTGTTGCTCAATGAAGCCACTTTGTGACAGAGGATCTTGGAGGGGTTCATCTCTAAAGCCTTCTCTTTTTCATCCAACTAGTTCATTAGTTCAAGACTAGAAAGACTTTGGCATGACAGACACTACACCCTGCTGCAGAATATTTTGCTCGCAAGCCTTGTTTGATCCTGCTAATTAGCAAAAAATCCATGTTTGCATTAGTGGAACGAATTTAAAAGGCAAAAAGCTGACAGGAGATCCTGAGTCCTACTTCAATTTATCGTGTTTGTGCCAAAGCATTTGCTTTGATTAGCGGAGCCAGGCTAACATAAAGTCATTTTACAGTTATTCAGCTTGGGGAGAAGGGATGAATGAAATGGGAAAAGGGCTTTGGGCTTTTTTTGATCATACATTGAGCTACGGCATC